AATCTTAGCGTTACCATCCCTGGCGATGAAAATAATAGGTCTTTTACCAAACTTTTATTAACTTTAATGAAAGTCAATATTAATACATCTGATATGTAAGCGTCGAATAATATTGCTGATTGAATAGTTCACAAATTGTTATTGTCTTATCAGTATCACAAATATGCAGGCTGTTGATTCGTATAAGTATACTAATGTGATAACGGTTTTATCAGAAATTATTTCCACAGATTCGACATATTCGAATATGTACTAATATTTTTGTTACAAATCGAACGAAAATGACTATGTAAACGTTTCTCGTTTCAATGTCCTTAAAAAAATTTTTTTTCTTTTAATATTTAAAAGATGTTTTCTCGAGTTACCTCCTTGCACAGAGTCGAGTGTCGTCGCTTCAAAGACGTAAAATATGGATCTTACGTCGACGGTTTTACGAATCATGTCCCGCGCACCCCTTGCGCGCGCGTTCCCCGTAATGTTCTGCACGGTTAATGAAGAGTTCGCCGTGTCCCGGGATGGCAGCTGACGTTGCATTCATGCATGAGAGCCGCGCGTCCCAGTCATTTGGCCACTCGTGCGTCTAAAAACACGGCAAACGCGCAAGTTTTGTCCCTGTCGATGCCGGGGTAACGCGCCTTCCATGGGAACTCGGGCCAGAAGAAAATTTCGGAAGGGGGACCGCGCGCGAGACCGTTGGCCCACACATCGTGTTGTCGGAACATGCGGATTGAGCCATAAAAGCCTGGTTGAGGCCTCTTTCGGGGAAATTCGCGAGACAGAGAGTTCGTTATTATCGCCGCGGCGCGTCTGGAATCGCGCGTTAAACGGTCTAGACTGAAATATCGAGGCTGAAGAATCGTAGGAATATTTCTAAAATGACGGGAACGCGTTCTTTATAACGCTATAATATAGTAGTATAACATCGTCGATCTTTTTCTTATAACAAGAATACTCGCAATCTTATACACATATATGCTTTCATCAGCTTCTTGTAATTTTAACTATATTAAATTGCACTCTGTAATTATTATTCCACTTATGTAATCTACATTATTTATAATATCAATTTTTTTAAAAATAATATCTAGAGATGTAATCGTTATTATAATGGCACTGCTAAAAATAAAGTCATATAATTTCCTCTCGTCTCGTCACATCGGACGTATCGATAATCATCACTGACATAGTCACTTTGTATCTTCCTACACAATCGAGCATCAATACTAAGAGATCGCGAGAGACGTATTTTTTCCGTAGAAGGGAAAGAGCGGCGCGAGAAGATCGGCGGCCATCGCGCGCGAAACCCGCCCCCCTCCCCCTTTTAGAGAGATAATTTATTGGTCAATCAAAATGACGCATGGAGGTATAAGGTGACACGTCAGCGTACACGGCTGACCATTAATTTTAATACTCGTCAGCATCAGATCCTCCGACGTTGCTCTTTTCACGTTCCCTCATCCCGCTCCCTTCCCACCCACTGACGGCGAAGTGCGTATCCATCGGCATCGGCTACCGTACGACTAATGCCTCGTTCGCCAACGACAATCATCCTCAGAGATCTCTCCGGTCGCTCCGATCTCTCACGGCCGCCACGAATTATTATCCTCCTCTTAATCCCGGCATCGCCGAGCGTGAACGCCGCGCTGCGCTGCGCCGCGCCAAGCCAACCGGGTGAGGCATAACGCCGGGAAAAAGAACCGTGCCGCAGAGATACGATCGGTTTCGAGACTTGCCGTGACCGGTCGACGCGCGGATATATCGGCGCTGTGCGCTAAGAACGCGTCGAGAGAAATGCGAGTGCGAGCGCGAGCGCGAGCGCGAACGCGTGCGGCGTGTCGATTGATAACGCGACGCTCTTATCGGCGTATCTACCATTACGCATTAGCTCGTACGCGGAGGTCGGTCGATCCGCCATAGATTTTGCCACGGTCCGTCCTACGATACGGCTCCCATCGTTCAGTTAACGATTATTAGCGTATCAGTAGATATATACGCGTAATAGATACCGGGGTTTTACGGCTATTACGATAATTAATATGAGGGACTACCCTATCGTTTTACCTCTCTACCGTTTAAATTCGCGTGTAAACGTAAATTTTCGGAGTCATATTCTTTTGAGATAACCAGCTATTAAGTAGCTAAATTCATTAATTAAGTAATCTTTAATCATCATCTCGAAGATATCGCACCTTCCACACAGTCGCCTTATTGAGTAACAGGGAAGCAATGAAACTCGTTTACTACTCTCGTATAAGAGAAATAAACCCGTTAACGCCTTCAATTTCCCGTTCATCAATTCTAAGAAGGCCAGATACTTTCGTACACAAGCGGCAGGAAGTACGTTGGTATTTAGATAATGAGCGTTTTCTTATCAATCGAGCAACCGGGTTAAAAAATGCTACCGTTGCTGCATGCGGCTTCGCCGGAAACGATTCCACTGGTTTATCATCTCATAGATGCAACTGAATATATAAATTATGGTCAGTGAGCAAAACAAACTCAATGATTCTCCGTGTGCAACGATACACGATCTAATAAATTTTAGTTAGTAACGAATCCTTAACAAATAAACTGTTACGAATTCAAGAAATTCTTTGATAAAGGAACTCGTTGATCGCTCATCGATAAATGACCTAATTCTTAGTCCGAGACGACATTGTGGTAAATGTGGATACGGACGCTTATCTCCGGCTAACATCGCCTCGTCAAGTATTCGAGAAGTAACGAGAGATCGGCAAACGAATCACGAAGCGAAGACCAACGAGACGGATGCATAATACGAACTTGAGCTCCTCTCTCTCGTTCACGTGGAATATACGCGGTTCTTCGAGAATGCCGAACGGGTCGGCCGGGGTTAATGTCTGCGTACCCCCTCACATGCATCTGCTTTTCTCTTGGTTGTATCTCATTTATAAAGATTCCGGGACAAAGGAGCAGGAACGATCGTCTTTATGGATCTGGCGTGGCGTTTGACCCCCCGACGCCCAAAGAGGCATCGCCGGACGTACGGACAGACAGAAGCGCGAGTCTGTCAAGTACCGCGATTCTAATCTGACAGGGACGTATTGGGCCCCGCTGACCACTGGCGGGGCCCGACGTGTCGGCCCGATCGGTCGTCGTATATAAGTACCTCGGCTATTATTAGTCCTAACCGACACGACCGGCATAGATTTCCATACATTCCAGAGCGTCGAAACGCGGTCGATTTCGGCATTTTATCATGAAATCCCGAATATATACGTCGGAGATCTGCTCGAAGAAAATCAGATGCGATGATTTATTCGGCGATGACTAAATTATGCACGTTTTTCTCCGATATTATAAAGCTTTCGAACGATGGAACCGCTTGTAGGGAAAAGGAAACCCCTTGGCACGAAACACTTTTCTTCATTAATGCAAACATGAGCGAAGGAAAACAAAATTAATGGTACTGCCACACGTAGTTGAATATGATAAAAAGTATATGTTACCATGTATTTTTCAAGATTATGATTTAGCAATTTCGCGCTCGCGCGGAGTTACGCCAATCATCAGTCAACTAACTTGCAAGTTTTTGCGATTTTGTTCATTTCGAAGTTAATAATGGCTGAGCATTTGTATCCTACATGTTGAGGAAACTTTACTGGGTCAAGACGGTATCGTTACACCTAATCGTCATAGCGTTAAAGAGAGCCATTTCTTCTCGTGGATGAGGGTATAACGGAAGTCTAGTCGAAAGTGACTATCGTCGATTATTCGTCATGTCAGTCCTTCCACTCTGCCGTAGCTTGTACGTTAATGTTACCTATTACTTACCGGGCACCCCTTTTGACAGCAGCGAGTTTCGATGTTCCCTCGGATATCTTCGGTTTTCGACTTTTGAATTTTGATGACAAAAAACGTTTTGCACCCAATTACAATTCCGCGAGAAATTTTGTAGTTCGTTCGAATTTATTTATTTTCTTGCGTAAAATAATTTCTCTTCCTTCGCGTTTTAAAATTAGAAAACGTATCGTATAATAGTGGCAATAGTACATTAAAGAGATTATCACAGATTATTATTTGACAATTTGTATGTGAGACGGTTAAATAATATATAACATTCATCCAAAGGGTGAAAAATTGTTTTTAAACTACATATTTTGTATTCCAAAATTGTCCCGGAAAAGACTTGTTACATAAGAATTACACGGTTTTTCGGAAAAAATCCAATATTTCTCGTAAGCGATGTAATAAAGAGATACGTGATAGAACAGTGATAGTGGGGTTAAATGAAGTATGAAGCGCGTTAACCGACACCATTCGCGATCAGCGTAACGCAACACACGCAACGAAACGCGTTTACGGTATAACGTAGGCGTGGCTGGCTTGATATCAACGATGGCCACCTTTCGACTGTAAATCAATCGATATCTCGCCTGCAGGAGGGGCTTTTCATGGGGCTTGCACGATGCCTGAAACGAGACGGGGGTGGAAGCATGCGCCAAATGCTGAATGCGAATCGACCCGACCCGCCCCGCCACTTTCATCCGTATATAGAGATCGTCTCGACCATCGTTCTCGCTTTTCGCGTTGCAACGCGCTGAAAACATTTAAAAAGAACCTCTTGACACTTTTATTTTATCTATGTCGCCACGAATTATTCATAAGACAAATAAGATACAATAGAAATTAATATTGCAACTTTAAATTATATACCTGTAATAATCAGTTTTTTGCATGAGTTTAAATTATAGAAGTCCCAAATAGCTTTTAGAATTTCAAAAAATTCAAGAGAGGTACTTGTTAAGTTCAGTATATTATTCAAATGTAATTTGTTTTTTGCTTCAGTGACGCAACGACTTATTTGCCTGTTATCGATCGTGACACGTCTCGCGGATGACATGTCGCCATGTCGTAATTCATTAATCGGATTTTCGATTACCGCCCAGCTGTCGATGTCACAAATAATGCTTCACCCGAGCAAACATTCACGTGACTGGGAGAGAGGATATAGGTGTTGACAAAATAAATCATGCTTGTTGGCTTGATAATGGGAATATTTAATTCGAATTTAAATAATCTTACAAGTATCAGTTGTCGCGTGATCGTTCGTATGCGCTTGCTACTCTTCATATACCATACGTAAATAAATAGCTAAGTTATATTTTAAACAGTCTATCGGGACAACGCCGTCGCTAAATGGTAAATTATGTACACGTCACTCCGTAATTACATATACAACACACCTATACATAGGTCGTCTCTATTTATTTCTCTTTTTATTATGTATAATCTTCTATTGCACGTCGCAATCACACTCCAGTTTTTCGCGATATTTAATATCTTACATTTTTACAATAAATTAACGAAAAATCTGATTACTCCCTGTACTCGTCCAATTTCGATTTTTCTTCGTTACCAGACGGTCCTGTTTTCGCATAAACAATCTTGCCGGAAAAATTGCAAAAAATGGCACTTGTTAATCTCCTTCGTAACAATCTAACCGCTGCATGCCATCGCACGATACGCTAATATATAACGAATATATTTTATTTCTTCGACAAACTCGATCAATTTTGTGAGAGAAGATTATTCAATAATATCAGTATCCTTTTGTTAAGAAAATTTATTTCTCTTCTTCCAACGATATGAAATATTATTAGCTATTTTTCTTTTTTTTTGCACAGCAATACTTTATACAAAGCATCTCAGGAAATTTGTTAATTTTCTAAGATGCCTTATATTATTGATTGCTTACCCCCTACAAAATCTGATTCAACTGTACGTGTGCTGCGGTCTAGGAACCTGTGCCGTAGCGTTTATCATCTCTTCTCAAAGCGATGGCAAGGAACAACGATCGTAACTTATTCGCGTAGCCATCTCGGTAAAACTAACTTCCCGTTCACGATTATTTCGAACAAGGGCAAACGACATTCGCCAAACTGTTGTTCTATCGGAAGCTCTAATTACAAGACAAGAATTTCTCGAGTTGACTCTGTCTAACGAGTTGTACTAATACGTCTAGCGAAATAAATATTCCAGTCTTTCATTTTAAGGAAGAGAAATGACAGACCGTTGACTCTGGTCCGTCTACAAGCTTTCTTTACTAGCTTTTTGGCCTGATGATGTGACTCTCTTCAAAGTAATATACTATATATTTATCTTTTTTTAAAATAATATATAATATAAAAATTTACACCGTACTTTGGTTGGTTTACAATTTGATTTCAAAAAACTGCAAAGTCAGAAAAATAGAGTAAAAATATTTTTCGATGAGTATTTTCGCATTATTTTTTTTTACAGAAGAAAAATTATTGATTCCAAAAAAGGCTATTTCATGGAATTCTAATATCGAATGTTTTCTAATCGTATTGGAAAATTTTTTCACACTAAGTAATCTGGTATTTCCAGATTCTATTTATCCTTTACAATTTTTCTGAAAAAATTCAGACGCAAAGAATAAAAACCGAGTAGAGGATGAGTCGATCTTCGCTTTTATAATCTTTGGAGTTAGAGATATGAAATTCAAGGATCAAAGTTGCAAGCTAAATTCTGCCGAGCGTTCATTTAAGTTTGCAATCGTCATTTCGCTTGAAGCTCCGCGGCCTGTTCCTCTTCCTCTTTAGTAAGCGGTACCGTCGAGTGATTGTAAAGCCCCTGTGCCATCAGTTGAAGCGCCAGGGGATTTTTTTGGCCGCTGGCCTTTTTGATTTTCGCCCGCTTGTTCTGGAACCAGATCTTGATCTGTGCCTCGTTCAGACCTAAATCCCTCGAGAGCTGCTGCCTCCGTCTTTCCGTCAGGTATCGGTTCTCCGCGAATTCTCTCTTCAGTCTCGCTAACTGTTCACCACTGAACGCGGTCCTGGGACGTTTCTCTTCGGGGGTGCCGCCGCCGCGTCCGTCTGTCCTCTTCACTCTTCTCGTGCGTGGACCTGGAACACGGGATGGTTCTAGCGTTAACTCGTATCTGTCAATAAGTTCGTCCAAAGATATCTCTGCAATACTTGCAATACTTGCAAGAACATCATATTGAAATAAAATCAAAAAATTGAAATTCCTTAGATGAACTTATTTACTTAATAAAAATATAGCAATCAATACTTTTTTCTAATTATAGAGATAAATTTATTATAGATAAGTAACCATAATATCTTCGTTCAGATTAAACGAGATTAAGAAAAAGTATTTTTCTCTTTCACAAAGCCAAGATTTCGTTTCTTCAACGCGTGTTTCTCAATTGCTGTTTTTATCGCGTAAAGAAGGAGCATTTCATAGATATGACGATATGCAAGATGTCAGGTTTTAAACAATGCTTTGCAATTGCAACCGCTCCACGGGTAGACATTGATTCAGCAAGTTTACACGCCGATAAATTTGAGAAATTAACGAACCACCGGTCGATAAGTTTTACGGCAACTTTTATTGTCTAGGCCTGTCTCAAGTGTTTTTCTCTCTGGCGCGCCAAGTCCAAGTCCGGTTACGTGCGCGTGTGTTTTCTATAACAAGCCCGTTACTTGGGAGGAGCCGCGCGCGAGGTCGGAAAGTTCGTCGACGGAATAAACGTCCGGCTGAAAGGATCGTCCTGCCGACGAAGTAAATCCTTCTGTCTCGATCTTACCTGTCTTATCGTGCTTGCGGATGCGTTCCGCGCGAAATCGCCGTGCCGTCGGATGGACTTGGCAAGCGGCGGCTTTATCGTAAATCAAACGCATTATTATTGCCGCCACGTTGCGCATCTCATGCCGCCGCGGCCACAACGTCACTATTCGCGCCTTTACGTTGCGTCAGCGTAAACGCCTGAGATCCAATCAGCTTCGCACGAGATTTCGACAAAGAAATCCCAAGATGAGTCTTTCCGAGAAAGAGATAATTAATAGAAAGAAAAGATAAGATCAATTTAATGCAGCAAGTATATTCGGTTATTTTTATGCGGAAAATAATCTGAATGTCTCAATATGAAGAAATATTCCGAATTCGGTGACATTTACTTGATGAAAAGTGAAACCTTGTTGTTTAAATCGAGCTTTCATGCGCTTTATCGCACGTAAGAGACACGTCGCTTCGCCAAATAAGGGACGCATTACGCGATCCTTAGATGCAACTCACTTTTCCCCGCGTGACTACTTCCTCTCGTGTGATTCCCGCATGTAATTTCCAGCTAATAATTCAAGGGATAAACACAGTGCGCCGCCCGGCGCGGCACGAACGCACCGCGTTTATACGCGCGCAGCACCGGCAGCTATAATTGCGTATAAATCAAATCATAACGATCAACACCAGCGTTATCGGTCGGTCTGATCTGCTGAATATTCCGTGGAAATTTCGAGACCGCCTCGCGATAATCGGCTTGCACCATACACATCGCCCAGTCGCTTCTAAAGCGAGAAATCATATATACCTTCTCGCGTGGAAAAGGCGCATAGATCGACGGCTTTTTGCGTGAATCTCGTGGATGTCACTACGCGACTTTGAATCATCGATCATGTTGCGCGATGTCTATTGAAGTTAATAAGACTGAATATCTCGAAAGCAAAAAAAGAAAATGATTGCGAGGATGTTTTGCACACATTGCGGCTAAAGATAAATATTCTTAAGATAGATATTTTTTTAATGCCACGTTTCTTGACACATGTCTACTATATGTCTACTATATTTAACTTATTTGTTATACTTGATAATGATTCTTTTTTTTCCTTGAAAGAAGTTTGTTCTTTTTCTTTATAGAAGTTTCTATTTAAAAATTGCTAAAATATTTCGTATTTTTTGCAATAAATTTTTCAACAGTAATATGTTTTATTACACGGAGAGAATTTTTTGTTATATTTTACCTTTAAATTCACTACAAACTTGGGACAACTTGGCAACCAAGGAATTTTTAAAATATATTGTACAAAAAACATTTTACAAATAACGTGATAAAAATTACCAAGCAGATTGGTAAATTTTGAAAAATTATTGAAATTTGCTAGATATATTTTAGTAAAATTAATCAAACATATTTTATATTTTAATGTAATAGATATTAATATTTTTTATCATGGTAGATATTAATCAGAATAGCTCGCATAAAATTCTTAGTGGTACATGTTGTCCCACAACCATCATGATTTCAGGGTAAATTTTAAGAAAAAATTCTCTCCGTGTAGATATTAAATTTTAGGGGAGGAGACATCGTGCTGTTATAGAGTAACAAATAATATCCGAAGGAAAACTTCTTGATTGTGATCTATGTAAAACGTCAAACAATTTATCTGTGACCGGGCTTTAACGATTATCCGAGAGAGATCAGAAATTATAGGCTTGTGGAATATAAGTCGCATTGATAATTATCGAATGTTGCTGCGCGATAGTAAATTACTGTCGACGACGAGGGCCGTCGTCCAGCACATATGAATTTTCGCAGTGAAAATCGTTTTACAACGCGTAATCATTCAAAGCGAAGATCATAGTAAATGCTTTAAGTAATATTATCGGAAAAGCAGTTTGTTCCGCACGATCAAGCATCGGCGCACGTCGCCGAGACTTAAGTCGTTAGTTTCCCGTCTCCGATTGGCTCTTACAGCTGGCGACGCGATCGATTTCTACACGTGTGGTCATAAAAAAATCTCTTAAGAAATTCATCTTCGTCGAGCCCGATGGCGCCCGTAAAATGTCTTACAAGGTTGCGACTGCTCGCGACGCACTGCTGTTTTTGCGTTTCGCCAGACGTGCCAATATTTAGAAAGAGAAATAATTATCAAGATATGTATAACGATACCATACGTGTTACGCGTGTTATTTGTTGAACATTGTTATTTATTTTGCGAGTTTACCTAATCAACAAGATTTATAGGAAAGGTCATCAAATTCCTGAATTATACTTTTAGAGTAAAAATGAAACTCTTGGCGTATAAAGAGAAAGAGAGAAAAAAGAAAGATACATGAAAAACAATTTTTCGGAGCCATCCCCAGAGTAAAACGATAAGCTCGCTCGCGGGATATCGAGGTGTTGGCTAGTTGCACTAAACGTACGTATACCATCCTTGGCAGTTTTCTCCTCCTCAGGAATGACTAAGGTAACGAACAGTCGGCAGTCTAATTACTTAAGCGAGGCAGTCTTGCAGTCAAGCGCGAGGAACGCGCTCGCCGAGAGAAGAGCTTCTCGCGATTCCCAGACTCCTCTCTCTCTCTCTCTCTCTCTCTCTCCTCATTCTCGCCCTTCCCACTTACGGTAATCCCTCTCCAAAGACTCGAGGGTAAAACCAATAATGCTAAGGTGCCCTTCTCCCAGCTAAGCACAACCCCAAAAGTACGTCGGTGGAATATCCGGCGACGTGCGGCCTCGGAGAAACACTAATTTCCTTGTCCCGCTCTTAGAGATAGACGTCAGCTCGTAGCTCGGTCTGTCAGTTTAATTGCATTTTTATTTTCGCTGCACAATCGTGCACGCGCGCGAACGGACGCGACTGCGTAGCGACATGACATTTACATTGCTAATCAGTCCGGTTATTGTTACACGGGAAACACGCTGAGTGATTTAAACAAACATTACTGATTAGTCATTTGCATATGAATAATTTTATTGTAAAATATGAGGCAAGACTGGATCTCTCGACGTCGCGAGTGTGAAAAAGTGTATCGTTAAAATTCACGCTGCACATCGATATACAAGGGGATAAAGTTATAAGGTCGCTTGTCCATCGGCGATCGACCGCACTACTAATTTTCTCGTTCTATTCCTGAGATAGATGTCAGCTACTGGCCTCTAGTTTCTCCTTCGAGCGATTCTCGCGTAACAAATAGCAGCCGCTATTCTAGCAATCGCCCTTTCAGCCTGCTGCTCGACTTGCCCGTCACGTTGCTTTTAATTACATCCGTATCGGCAGAAACGCGAAGGAGGCGCAACGGAGAATAAAAAGGGAGAATGGTGTCTAGAATTCGTTAAAAATGATCTGTAAATTAGCAGGATTCCGCGCGGAGCAAATGACCGACGATCGTGTTCGGAGAGCGAATTGCGTTAAGTTTAAAGTGATATTTTAACGAAAACGGTTCTGGTGTAACAAATGATACGATCGAAACGTGACAAAATGTGTTACGAAATTAATAACAAAACACTTTGTATAAATATAAATGATCTCATCTATCTTTCAACCGGTTCGTAGAACATTATACCCGAGGCGAGAATGTAGAAAGCTGAACTGCAATTTTATTTGACAGAATTAGAAAGTACGAAAAACAATACGGCGGGAATATATCAGAATTCAGTCGTAAACTAATAATAATCGTAAACGGTGCAGCTTTCGCTCGAGTCTCGCGCCTTTCTTCCTTTACCGTGGATCTTTACGTTTCAAACGCCTCTCGTGACGCGATAATTACAGCGTTTATGAACGAAGCTCCCCGTACAGAGCGTGTCAACGACACAATGAGAGTCGGCAATCATCCTGGATGATGCACCTAGACGTCTAAGAGGAAAGGCTCTCGGTGCTGGTTAGTTGCGCTTCGGTCTCGCTTTCAGATAGGGCATGTGCGATTAAATGGCCGTAGGCGAGGTAAGTCGTACAGCCACGAATTGCATCGTTCCCGATACGTAAAGCAATCTACCTCGCTTGCTAAAATGCCGCCCGGCTTGATCGTCGCGTCTCTTCTAGTTACGCCAACATCATCGACAGATACGGAACATCGCCGGAAGGGAAACAGCGAGAACAAAGTTGAGAGTGTGTTAAAGTTGTTCTCGCGCAATTTATCGGAGCGGTCTGCGCGAAATGATGCGAGTGACACAGGCGCGCTTGATGTACAAAGTTGCCCGGATAAGAACTCGCGTGTTGGTTCGGGTATTAGGTATTCATAACTAAAGGCGGTCCTCTCTTCTCCTTCCTCTTCCTTCTTTCGTCGACCGATGTCATCCGATGATTACGCCGGTAGACTAGCATTGACAACTTAATGATAAGCTTCCGTCGCGCAAAAGACGAGCAATAAGTTGATTATTACATTTTAACGAAGCATGCTTAATCGAGATTTGTTAGAAGAAGCGATTTTTTTGCGGTCCCGCAATTGCGAATGTAATTTTCGACAATTTCCAGCTCGTTATTATTAAATGTATAGACAGGATGTTAAATAAGACAATTTATTGATCGTTTTGAAGCATGCAATGTCGCAGATGTAAAGACACGCGTTTTAATTAAGAGAAGAAGTATAAGAAAAAATTTATCTTATTCACCTTCGTTACAAAGACATTACCAGGTTGTCCGGTAACGAATGCATTGCGTTAAATTAGCGTTGCGAAATTTATCACCGATAATTATGATGTCTTCGTGAAAAGGCAGCGAGTTGATACGTTAATAGAATGATACGAAGGAAGAGGACGCCGTCGTTAAGTCGTTAAGGCCATTGCCTCGATGCAGTTGGCGGAGACGCACTCCATTCAATTTTCACCAATTAGCCGCGCAAGCTCGATGACAGTCCTATGGCCATGCAAATAAAAGTGCAATGTTCTCTAATACGGCTGTGTAGTGATATTAACTTCAGAACAATAATTTCACAAGAGAGACTTTTTAATTTTAATCTCTTCTTCTCGTGTCTACAATCCACAGTTTATCTTTATGTTCATCCATTACGACATCCTAAAAATACTTCTAAGCGTCTGATAAGGCACAATAATTTATAGGTAATAGCAAACGACTTCGAGAGCGTACAACGTAGTAAACGTGAAGCATATCGGATAATGACGGCAGAAGCATCGAAATAAACACAAGGATTAGCCGATCAAGCCGTCGCGTTCTTCTCATACGCGAATCGGAATGGAACGATCAAACGATCGACTGCGCGGCGCGCGCGAACAGTTGCGAGAGCCGATCGACCTGTCCTTTCCGTGAATCTGATCGTCCCGTCCTTGTCCGGGTATGTGCGTCGGGATATGTAGGAACGAGTCGCGAGCGGAGCCGCTTGAGTTATGACTACGGCCATTACTTGGGACAAACGAGGCTAAGCGTGTCGACACGGAGCCGAGAGCGGGCAGGTCTCCTCGATTCTCCCAAGTCATTCTCGACTCTCGAGAATTACGAGTGCTCTCTCTCTCTCTCTCTCTTTCTCTCTCTCTCTCTCTTGAGTCGCGAGAGCCTTCAGCGCGCTCGCAGCGTTCGATTGACAGTTTTAAGACCCGACGTTGACTCCGCGTCGGTACTCGTTATCCAGGACGCGGATTCCGCATAGGCGCGCTTTATGTATTTCCTACGCGCTCGCCGCGAGCAGATATACGATATCGCGAGCGGCATAGCGATACCCTGTAACCCACATTTTCGAATTATTTATGTCGCAAGGTTTTTGCGATCTGTGGCTGTCTCCGCCGTCTGCGTCAATGCCGATGGTATTTCAGAAGCATAAATGACCGGAGTCGCGACGAAAAAGGTAGTTTATGACAATATGTTCTAAGGAGGGCACTAATTCTCTCTTTCAAACTGAAAAAGTTGTACATCGAGCAAAATTCCACGCACGTACGAAGAAAATAGATTGAAAAAGAGAACAAATCTTGAAAAGTCAATTAATACGCAAACAATAGATTATTTAAATAGGTTCTTTAAATATTTATAGAAAAAAATAGTCCCTTCGAGTAGGTAATCACGGTATTTACCAATGTATTCTCAAAGCTGCAAATTAATCCATATTAATTCATTTACGTAATTAGTGCGAATCACAAAGAGGTGAAAGTCGTCTTACATTTCGATGGATCAATCTGATTGCAAATCACTGGACATCCATACGCGTCATTGAGATATCGATTTAACGCAGACATGCCAGTGATCGAGCTTACACAATAAGCGTATTAACGGCTTCGTTCACAAAAGCTCACGTTCCCCGATGCCATTTCGTCATTAGTCTCGTCTAGCCCGAGTACGGCTCGTAACCGCCGTGGGTCGTTACTTACTTCGTCCTGAGAACAAAAAAGAAAAAACATACCGATTAAAACTTTTGTCCTTCCGAACAACGTCATCAAATGCACATTTTTACATTTATTCATTTAAATTTTTGTGCACATAATGTCGTCCGTTATTAATACATCTTATACATATAATAGACATCATTAACGCAGCTATAATTTTCACAGACGTTGGTATTGTTACAACTAAGCGAACTCCAAGATTCCATAACCATAAATAATGATCACTGGTCGAAATAATTGCGGAGTAAATCGTCATTACTGAAGTTTCAATTTTTATCTTGTTGAACCGGCACGACAAACGGTACTTATAACGTTAGGATTTTTATTTGCTTGGGATTTTATTATATAAATATCGCTTGTTATATACGCGCGGTTTCCCATCGTGGTTGGCTGAGCCTCTCTTATGAGGTCTTCGTTAAGGTGTTCCCGAGTTAGCCCATAGAATTGTACGAAAAGTACCATTGGATCCGTGGCTATATCCATAACCATAAATAATGATCACTGATTGGTCACTCGTTATTGGTCGATCGTTACTCGAGTGTACGTGACTGCGTTTACGTTTCCACGGGTCGGTAACTCGTTTCCATTAAGGCGCGGTCTTGTCTGCTTCTTTTCCTTTATCGCCATTTCTTTCCGTCCTTTTTCCTCGCACAACGTTCTTTCACCTCTTAACTATCATCCGATTTTAGACGCGCGGCATGTGTATCTTTACATTACGGCGATTAAGCGCCGTTCTGAACGCGACCGGTATTTCTTAAACGATTCTTCAGTACAAAACACCAATACGTCATGTCTTTGAATTTCCATATGCGTAGAAATATTTTCTGGCGCAGTCTGGCGTTATTATTACACGAGTCCAGTAAATTAGTAATCACGTACCTCTTTCACGCTGAATTTAATGTCACGAATTAGCAGTTATTTTCAAAAGTCCGGTTTTTTAAATATACATTTTAAAAGATTTATTCTAGATTTTAAAAAAATTGAGATTTTTATGCAAGATCGTATATCACGAAACAATTATTTAAAAATTTGACTTTTAAAATGTATATTTTAAAAGATTTATTACAGATTTTTAAAAAGTTTAAATTTTACACAGGACTGTGCATGAAAGTATCAGGTCTTCAGTATATTTGAGTACAGATGGATTTATCTTTCATATATTAATCCCCTCGCGAGGGCTGTGCAGCTCACGATAATAAACATCAAAAATTACGAGCAGAAGACATTTGCGAGTAATGCGTAGCTCGAAGAGACGATTAATAGCTTCATTGCATCCTACGCCGTCGATGCAGAAGTACCGGTTCTACCAACGAAAGACCGCCCCTTTCTCATCCCTTTCTCTCTCTCTTGTATTTGCTTTCGATCTTCCTCCTCCTTGACATCGTCACCTATTCTTTTCGCGAAGCGATTAAGTACGTAATAAACAACAATCAATTTTAAACAGCTCTTAATGCTTAATGTCGTCAGTTGCGACTACTCATTACTTTTCACAAACAACTTATAATTAGTTGTATCAATATTAAAAAAAATTACGTCAAAATGTCTTTGTCGTTACATTCGTGTAATTGTACAATTTCTCGATTCGTATTAGTATAAGCTTCGTGCAAAGAGGATATGTCTCTACACTTCGGCTCGCGAATGAAAGGGTTTAGAAAGCGGCGATCTCCGTGTGCTGGATCCCAATCGCCAATGTGGCGCAAAGCAGGAACTATAATCTTTCGTCTTTTACCATTTAGTTTTCGATGTAGCCTCGATGTTATCTCGAGGAGGAAAGTCACTTCGCAAGGATCATTGCGCTCCAACGCGCAGTCACGACCGCCGTATTGCTACATATCGACGTCGTGTCTTATGTGTTGTAGGCGTGACCGGCACTGTTAAGATCTTTATCGCTTCGTGATTATTATTACGTTACATATCGGGATTACATCGGTCCCCCCGATTAGGAAGGGGGGATGGATATACATCGAGGCGCAAGTTAACGCGCGGATAAGCGTGCGAGACATATACGACTCCGCGAGCTGGTTGCCGACGAAACAAACCATCACGACGACGCGATATACATTGTTCTCTCGCGTCGTGGCAGAACATGATGCGCGCTTGCGCGCCGTTATTAATTATTACGTTGCGCGTACCGAGTTATCGCGCGGATCATCGATCGTATCGTTCCGCGTCTATCTTGGCTTTCGGCGAAAATATCGCGGAGGAAAATGAGAGACTCCGGTAGCTGGCTCGCGTCAACAAGCAGTCATAATAAATACTTTTGATTCATTGCAAAATGTGTTGGGATTTGATAAAGAGGATGCTTGCCAGAGAAGATTGCATTTTGATTGCAGAATTGCTACAATGAAGTTAAAGCAAAAATATATAATATATATTGACAAATTTTATCTTTTTTGTACATATACATCACATTTTTCTTAAGTTTGTAAGTATTACATGGTTGCGACGAAGGCGAATCTATATCGATATGCGCTCGAGATCCTTGAAAAATACGGAGCAAACGCAAACGGGGAATCGAGTAAGAGGGAAAAGAGAAGATCGTGTAGAATTTATTAAACATGACAAGTAAGTAGATTTATTTCGATACGCATGATTTACGTTTGAGGCCACCTTATGATTATCGATTTATGAGACTATCATCTTACAAGAAAATTATTAACGTTTTCATCCGAGTTATAAACGAGATATCGTAACTTTATGCTGAATAACGCCGTTCTATTCCTAGATATTCTGGACGTTGACGTAATGGCGATTAATTGAATTAAAAGCGAGACGCATGAATTCGCACGGATTTGAGCTCGTTCACGAGTGATTCGCGACTGGCGCAACACGCGAGTGAATTACGATGCCGATGCACATTGATGTCGCTTAAATACCATTAATCAGTGAATTCGCGGCGTCAAACGAGAGGAGTCTATTTCGAGCGAACCAATCGCGGATGGCAATTATGGCGCCCCGTAAAACGACGTGTGATTGTACCGTCTTATTACGTCGGCGTTCGAACATCTTTCCCACGACGGGGCTAAAACGTTTTCACGCGACTGCCCGCTCTACGCACGTGTTGCACATCGACGTACGGACGCAAGCGCGTGTACCGGCGCGGCGCACAGAATCGCTCGTACTCCGATTTAACGACTCCAGACGATTCCCACCGCGCACCCCGTAGATATACATCTCGTAATCGGATACAGCGTTAACGTTCGCGATCACTCGCGATCACGTAAGCCCAGCGGCGCCCATCTCAAGCCGACGAGAAGCCGACGTGCTCTAGCGAATTTATAATACGAGGTACTTTCGAGACACTTTAAGCTTTGATCCACTTCACGACAATCGGTACTATTCTTTCAGGATCTCAGCTTCGTAATCACGCCCATTTCGGATGTTAAAAGTTCATTGTTTTGCGATAGATATATATGCACAAACTTATTAGAGTTGCTGTTTCGTCGTACGCGTATTATCTTGTTGTACGTTCGTGTTAGAACAAAGATAAGATGTTAAAGGGACGGTGAAGTAAAGACGTAATCCGTTTCGCACGTGGTTTCCTTCTGACGCGCGAAAGGTCGCGCGCGTTTAACACGCGACGCGCGTTTCCGTGCGTTTTCTCGCGTATACCCTCCACCGTGTTATTTATCCGCGCGCGCGTTGCACGTTTGTTCCACCTTATTTTCAAATGCACGACATTATCTCGCCTCGTTGAGCGCGACGGGATAAGCGCGCGTGAAGGAACACCGTGATTACCCGCGCTACCATAGATTACGTTCCTTCTAGCGATTTCGTCGAATGCACATTTGATATTTAACCGGCGAGATTCGTTCTAAAATAGGTAATATTAACACCGCTGATTGATTTATGGAAAACGATTAAACCGAAAGACGGCTCTCCTTCCCTTATCTTCGCGCCGCACTCTTCGCTATCGTAACACACCTCTTTACTTCTCACGATTTAAGCTGCTTAAGTTTGCCAAAGAGAAATTATCTTTTACTCTCATGCATGTTTGCCATCACTTAATTACTTTAAATTATTGTACAGACGATTAGTATTATGATCGTAGTTTTTCTGGATCTAAACTTAAATCATGTCAATTATTTCTTCTTTCTGAAGTAATCTGCGACTATCATATTGCCGCTCCCATTCCGGATCGCTCGTAGATCTCTTCTCAACAGATACTTTAACAGACATTTTAACAAGCTCTTTAAACTCCTCTCTACCCAGACTGCTTCCTGGTTCGTGAATTTAGCAATTTGATTAAATCTCACGGACGCGTGTTTCACTTTCCCTCGGTCGGGAGTTATGTTTATCTGATTCCCGGTCGAGTCAATACAACGAGAATGCGGCGCAATTAGTATCTCATTAGACAGCGCGACTGTTCTAATTCCTTAGTTTCGCATTAGAAACGTCACTCCGACGTGGAACGTAACGTGACGTTCCCTCGTGCCGCTCTTCGGCTTCTCTCGCTGGCTCACCCTTCCGCTCTATTACGTTCCCTCGGCTTCTCCAAGCATGTGGCGAGGAACTTGGTACGCACCAAAGTAAACTACCACCACTCTACCTCTCTTACATGGTGATTGACGCGAGCCGAGTCGGTGTCGACTCGAAACGGTTATTCGTTTACCGTTTCAAAACTTTATCGAAACGGGCTGCATTCTGCAATCCTTTAATATACAACCCTTTAATAAGAAAAGGAGAAAAGCTTCCTATAGAAATTTAATTTTATTGTCATTATAATTAAATGCGCGATCTTTCGTGATGAGAATATAAATTTCAGATTAATTTAATTCGCTGATAATTTACGCAACAATTTTATTGATCTCGAATTCCCATTGTAGGTTATAAAAAAAATCTCTTCACTGCGATATGCAACTTAACGGTTCTTTGATGTAAAATTAGTGAGGCTTATAGCGCGTGATTGCTACGAGGGAGGTCGGAGAATAGGCATGGCTCTTTATCAATGTCTTCTCTCTGTTCCGACTCTCTTCTTCGCGAGCCACGTG